CAAATCAACCTTACTCAGGTTTAATTCCAAAGATAGGCAACATCCTTTGGGAGACTAGCAGAGATAATATATCAATGCAACTTCAAATTTTAGATTAAGCCATGGGCCTACAAAGTAAAAGTACTATTCAACTTATTAAACTGGCATCATCACAGTCATTTTCCCTACTTGATTTAACTATGATTCATAAAAACCATGTATTCTCAAATTTAGATCAATATTTAAGGTCTAGAATGCAATCAGGACCCTGCTGATAGATATGATGATTGATCTACATAGAGTATGAAAGATGACTAAATTAAAGATAAAGTAACAGTTGATGAAAGTGGTGCAGGTTCCAAATATGAATTAAGACATAGAAATTTAAAGAGTGGTAAGGTTTATGGACACCATATGATTAAAAACATGGCCAAATTCTGTAAGGTGGAAAGAACCACAATTGTTCATATCTATGATGTCACTATCATTTCTGAATATAAAATACCATTCAATAGAAATCATACAAGTTAGGATAACAGCAAGGTATCATCATTATTATTTTTAATGAGAATAACTTAGGAGTCTCTTTTGTTCCCCTGTAATAGTCTTATTTTTTCCCTTGTAATAGTGACTTTTTCATCTTCTATAGGATATCCAAGGTTAGAACTAGTGAGGTGAATGAGGCACTCATCTCAGGTTAAAATTTAAAAGAATGTTAAAGAAAAGTAATCAAGATGAGTAATATGTTAATAAAAATAGTTTTAAAATCACGATTAACACATAAACTTAAATAATATCAAAATTTTAAAAAAGGAAAGGATCAGTACCTAGTCTAACACTGATAAAGTCTCTAAAGCAAAACTTCTTTACATCATAATGAGTTTCTTTAAAAGAAAAATTTTGATAAAAGGTTAAATGGTTTAGGTCTGTCCCATCATTTACATAAGCACAGAATACATGAGTGAGAAAAATACCCAAAGTAAATTTTAATAATAAATCCCTAAATATTGTTCTAAGGCAGTTGACATCATAAATCCCTATGTCTAAACCCACTCTGATTACTAAACTCTAAACCCCTTGGTTATGCTAAGTAAGCTCTCCCAAACTATTTAGACCGATTGATTCTAATACCAACGTTGCTTCTTTTAACTAATTATATAGCTGATTCATAGTCTTTGCTTGAATTGATTATACTGGAAGTTACAAGGTAGAAAGATTTTCTAATTTTATCATTCTCTCTACATTTATTAACTGACATTCTTCTGTAGAAAAGATTTTTTTCTCTTCATCCTTCATCTCTTGTTTTTGAGTATGTTTATAGACTCTAAGATGTAAAAGTTCCATATTTTGTAATCAAATAAAGTTCTTTTTTTGATTCACACATCATCCCAATTTGGTCAGTGGGAACATTTTCATGCTGGCTTATGTATCCTGCCTATATAATCCCATTTATCTTTGAGCATTTGCTTGTTTCTTGGCACAAAAAGACATCCCAGACTACTCTGTATTTTCCCTGACCTAGACCTAGAAGCTTTGTACTTTTTAATGGAAAATGGTACTTAGAGACTAAAATCTGGGAGCTAGGAATGTCTATTGCTTTTAAGCCTTTTTCAGTGGACAGAGCTAAGAAAAATATTTATATATTTAAAATCATGCCAGGTAAGGTGGCTCACACCTGTAATTCCAGCATTTTGCAGGACAGAGGTGAGCAGAACACTTGAAGCCAGGAGTCGAAGACCAGTCTAGCCAACATGGCAAAAACCCATCTCTATTAAAAATACAAAAATTAACTGGGTGTGGTGGTGTGCACCTGTTATCCCAGCTACTCAGAAGGCTGAGGCAGAAGAATTGCTTGAACCTGGGAGGTAGAAGTTGGAGTGACCTGAGATCCTGCCACTGTACTCCAGAGTGAGACTCTGTCTCAAAAAATAAATAAATGAAATACAATAATGGGTCAATTTTGATATGTTAAATTCAAATTTAATGTTACAGTTTCTATTTCCTAATGCCATTTATTTTATGGTGGAAATCTTAGCTCCTAATAATGTTTGTTTCTTTATTTGCTCAATCCAACAATATACATAAAATTGTTTAAAAATGTTAATAACTGCAGGACTAATAACTGTTAATATAGTGAGCAACATTAAAATTTCTTTGCATGTATTTTTGTTCTTAGAATATATGCCACTAATAATGTATAGTCATAGTATGATAATCAAAAGATACTTGAAGATACTCTCTGTATCTTATCAATTTGCTGTACAGTTAGGTGTATTTATTTGTATTTGTAGTCACTGTTAGGGCTTTCTTTTTATCTTTTTAATTTGATTTTCATTTCTGAATATGTAAAAGATTTACATGGTCCAAAAGTCAAATCTATACAAAAGGGCATACTCAGAAAAGTTGCACTCCCATCCTCGTCTGTATCTGTTTCCCATATATCTCCAAAGGTAAACACTTTCGATTCTGGCTATTTCCTGTTCCTTTTATTCTTATTTCTCACACAAAAGGCAGTATATGAGAAGTACTTGTTTTTTTTTTTTTTTTTTTCAGTTAGGAATCTGTCCTGGAAATCATTCAATATCAGTGTATAGATATCTTTCTTATTCTTTTTTATAGCTGCACTGTATTACACTACGTGCATGTACCATCATTTATTTAACTACTCTCCTGTCTGGGTTATTTTTATTTGCTATTAAAAACAGTAATGTAATTCTTATGTTGTTTCATATGCATGAAGGTTTATGTTCAGGATAGAGTCCTACAAATGATTCTTCCTTAGTCAAAGGGTAAATGCATATGTACTATTGTTAGATATTGCCAAGTTATCCTCCATAGGGATTTTACCATTTCATGTTCTCACCAGTAATGCATGAGAACACACAGAACCTTCTTCCAGTTTTCAAGATCAATGTAAAGAATCTCTTTCAAAAGTTACATGGTTCTTAGATTGTGTCTAAAATATAATTTTTCTCCCTTTCTGTTTCCAAACAGACAGGTGATCATAATGTTTTAATTTAAAATACATAAGTTGAACATATTAAATGTCTTATGTTTATAGAGCACATTATACTTTTCAAAGTACTTTTATGCACATGCATTTCATTTGATCCTTATAGCCATGTTTTGAAGACTAGTGCAAGTATATTTTCCAGATGAGAAAACTGAGAGCAAATTTAATGATTTGTACATACCTAGTGAATCCTAGTTAATGACACTTGAGGGTCCTGCTGGTTCACTAATATTTTTACTAGATAGGAATGAAGTTGCCTCCCCTATAACTTAGAATTTTAGTGTCTTCATTTACTATGTGTTAGTGTAACTTGCTAGATAAAAGTATTAGGAATGCAAACTTAATCATTATATTTAGCTAATAAATGGCAGAAACAACAAAGCAATTATTGAGTTATGTAAGCTTGTGTTTTAAGTTTATTTTGGATAATAAAGCTTCATTTGTTTGGTTTAGCTTAAATATTGTATAAACTAAAAAGTGCTAACCAAGTATAATATCGTTTACTCTAAAAAATACAGCATATTTTAAAGAGTTATATAAAATAAGTAACAACTTGAATACAATGAATTAACTTTTAATACATAAGCAATTGCTGTGTATTTCTAAAATCATAGCAAATAGAGTAAAAGGTAGCCAAGATGTAATTTCAGGACTGAAATAAAGTTCAAAGTTTTCCTTTGTACTAAACAATGTCTCTTTGCATTCTGTGAAAAGGTGAGAGAAAAAGTTCTATTCTGAGAATAAAATGTTTCAGCTACATTTTTAATTAGATTGATTTGTCCTTGAGAATGGCAACATATATTTATCCTATCAAGTGTACTTCAAGAAAATATTAAAGAATGACATTAACGAATATAAGCTGAGTCCTCACACCAGAAGGAATGAAATCATTGAGCATAGATATAAACCCCGATTTTGGCCTCTTTTTCATAATGTAAACTGTATTCCATAAAACACAATCTGTATGTTAAAGATGCTGTTTATTTTTGAAGTTAAAAAATAACAAAAAGACTTTAGACCCACATATAAAAGGTACTCTTTTTATCCTTTTCTGAGACACTGACCTGTATACTCATTTAAAAATGAACACCACATCTTTACGTTATTAAATCTTTGTTTTGATCTATTAGTATTCACCAAAGTGCCATTTTATAAAACCCCACACTGAATAGACAAGGCTGGAGGTGACCATCTGCAGCTTTAGAGTCTGTGTTTGAATTGATGAAAAGAGCTTTGTGTTTTCATTGCCAAGTTTGATTCTTCCAGTCATTAGGCATTCCCCTCAGATCCCATCAATGAAGCCGGACTCTCTTACACCCATGTGTTAAAATTCTCTTCTCCTCATGGTTTCCTTTGCAGCTCTACTCAAGAATGACTATTGGGTCTTAGCCACATTCTTCTCACAGCTGTGTTAGAAAAGAGCATCAGAAACTCTTCCTAAAACCCATATGTGTATCTGGTCAGTTCTCTGTCTTAGGGTCACCTCACATTGTGGTGTGATTATACAGAGATTCATTCTTGTTCTTGAACTGTGCTACTCTCATCATTCTGGGAAAGATTTAGGCCCTCTGAGAGTCAGTAGTAGAGAACTTTTTGGAAGACTGATGTGAAATACACATAACTTAACTCAGAAGGCAGATTAGTTTAACTTAAGAAAGATATTTCAAGACACTAAAAATGTTTTATGTTATTTTTACCATTATGTAGCTTGTTATATGGCAAACAGTAACAGAAAGAGAAATAACATGCTTATACATTACACAGGATAGTGTTGTATGAGACAAAGGAAAAACTGAAAAGATGATGATGTTCCAAGAACTACTGGATTGTATTGTATAAACACCAAAGCAACGAAAAAAAGTTAAAATTAGTTTGGTAGGTTCCAAAATATCATTTACATGTAATTTGTAGAATCTTCCTTTTTTTTTTTTCACTTTTGTCAGTCTTCCTATAAAAAGACCTGCTAAAATAATCTACAACGGTGTAATTATTTTTTCATTATATTCAGGTTAAGAAGTGAAAAGTGCCTCTGTTGAGTTGTTCAAGAATGTACAACACTGAAGGAAGAAAGAAGATACACTTCAGCTGTAACTATAATCAATATTGTTATAGAAACTTTTTTTCCTTAAATGTAACTGATCAAGAATAAAGCTAATCTATGGACAACGTTTGTGATTTCACCATCAGACAAAGTTACACTGAAACAAGCAAAGGATTCTTCACTGTGTAAATTTACCCAGGGCCAAATATGCACAAGTGCAAATCCCTGACCCAGTAGGAATAAATAACCAATTACGGAATCTTAGAATCCAAGTGAAATTTTTATTTTGTCTTGCTCTTGGGATCAACTGATTTTCTCCCAAATATATTTTGGGAATAAAATCTGTACCTATTATACCTGTTTGTCTGTTTAGGATAGTTGTGCAACTGTGAAATCAGATTTTAGATGAGCATACTGAGGATTTATTCAAAGCAAACCAGACCCTGTTTTATATAAAATGTATATATTTTCTATATTAACCAGTAGATACATTATATCAATTCTGTGTGTTTAAGAATAGAGACAACAAAGGGGAAAGTTTTGAGTAAGTCATATAAAGTATCAAGTAATATGATATGTTACATCAAGTCTAATGAGATTGAGCAACCTTTAAGCAGGAATGACAAAAACTTCTAAAAATCTAACTTCTAAAACAACTTCCTTTCCCCCTCTACAGTAAAATATTTTAAAGTACACTAACAATTAGTGTCATTCAGTAACCTTTTCCTAGGGAGTTCGAATCCCTTTATACATCTTATTTTTATCAATTCTCCAACTAATTTCAGGTAAGGTAGATGAGTACTCCTAACTTCACAGAAGTACCCAGGAGCCTGTCAAGGCGTAAACCGTTAGAAAACTTTTGACTGCAGCTAAAAACAGAAGCAAGGAAAAGTATACTTGTTAGATCATATATCCCTCTAAGAAACTTGTATTTCATATAAAATATTTGTGTGAAAATCACGTGTGTGTCTCTAAGGTATAAAAAATGTGTTTCTCCCCTATCAAATTTTAGTTAAAATGTAGATGATCATCATAAGTGGATTCTATATTATCCCTAAAATAATAAAAACTCTGGTCTTTGACTTTTTAAATCACTGTAGTACTGGGATTAACAAAAACCCAAAACTCCTGTATTTTATTTAAACTGAAACAGTATGGATATCTCATATTTAGTTTTTTGTTCTTTTTCTTCCATTCCTCTCTATTGTGTTCGTCTGAAACATGTTTTATCTATCTGAGTATGCAGAAACATATAATAGCTCAACTCTAGTTCATTATTGGAAGATAGCTTCTGAAATGAAGAAGTAGATTAAGTACAAAAAGCCATGTTGTAATTTAAAATTTTGGTTCCTACTTTTAGGCTCTTAATTACTCATTCCATAAGGTTAGTTACAAAAGGGATCTACCTTATCAGGAAAAATACAGAGTCTAGGTTTAAAGGGCCCTTTTTCTTCTTTAGCCTGGATCCCTCACTTTCCAATCTACTGGGATTTCTTATATTCTGGGTTAAGCTTCAATCCTAATAATCCTACATTAATCCTCCCCTGGCATAAAGGAATTAGTCAGATAATTAAAACTGTTTCTTCTTCATATCAACATGAGACATTCCCCAGTAGTGAAGATGTAAGCCCAAATTCTTTAGTTTTTATAAATAAATGAATATAATTATGCATTTGTCAAGCATTGTAGGTATATACCTATGTATAATAAGAGCAGCTCTAACGAAACCTTCTTTATACACTAGATGAATGGGAAAGGTGATCCACTATACAGGCATATGATGGAATTGGTGATAATTTTAATGAAATGCTTTTTAATAGAGTATAAGATGAAATATTTCACAAGTTAAAGATGTAATCAGATAACTTAATGTTTATAATTCACAAATCCAGAATATTAAATTCTTTAAAAGCATATAGCATGTCCAAGAATAAAAATTAAGCATGTTTAGATGCTGTACATCTTATAATGACTATTTAGGAGCCATCTAAGTTCATCTTCCATATGTAGATGACAATAAAACTATCTTCAATTAGATTTAGATTTAGAAGGTGCCTGCCAAAGCTAATTAGGGAGGGCGTTTGTTGATAAACTATCATAAGTAAATTAACCTTATGATAGTTTTATTCAACTTATTATTTGGTGAAGTACATATATTTCACAGCTTATAAATTTCAAACACAAGAAAACATTTTAAGGAGCAATTTCTAGAGAAGTTTTAGGTACTCTCACTTATTAATAGTACTAATAAATCAAAGCTCACTTTCAACATTATATAAAGTATTGATTTATACCTTCTTCTAAGTTGAGGAATTTCAAAAGTTATTCTTTGATTCAATCAACACATATTTATATTGTTTAGATATGTCTAATTTTGCCTTGGAGCTTAAAATTCAACAAAGAATTTATAAGAAAAATATTACAGGCAAAGTTGACAAGAATCAGAATAATTTTAATGAAAAGAATGAAATTATAAAAAAAATCACTAAGGCCTTTCATTTTTTAGAAGAATTATTTTTCATTATGGTTAAAATCAGATTCTGGAGCCAGCAACAGATGTAAAAAATCTAGTAAAATCTTTTGATAAAAATAGCATACTTATTTTTTTTAATTGAGAAACTTTAGAAATGCTCTGTTCCTCTTCCCAGCACCCACAGTCATGGATCCTGTTTTATAATTCAACCTGCAAACAGATTAAGCAGCTGAGTTTGTAGAAAGTATGTTTGCTCTACACTAAGAACCCTTGTGTGACACTATGGTGACTCCCCTGACACTTTGAAGAGAACTACAGATGGTTCTTACTCATTAGCTGGAAAACCAGGCTGAGAATTCACAATTTCTTTGTAACCCCAATTTCTTCATAGAAATCCGGTATTTGGTCAAAAGGCAGAAAAGACTTTAAACAGCTTTACTTTTTTTTTCTTTGTCAATAATGCTCAAAAGATACAGCGTGCCCTATATTTCAAAAGACAATCTACAACTTAAAAAAACCTATAAACTGAAGTGCTTTAGCCTGATCTTTGATGTTTTAACTATGCTATAAAAATGTAAGATGAGCAGAACTCCTGTACATTTTAAATAATAGATATTTTCCTTTTAGGAAAGTATGGAAAGCATGTAAGTTCTTGAGTTGATACATCTTTTCCAGCAAATGCCTTTAAAAGTTTACCATTTTTTCTGTATCTCTTTGTCTCATCTATTCATTATATAGTTACAGTATATAACTCCTCATATAGTTTACGGGAGAATTTGAATCATATCCCAGTCAATCTGGCCCACAGTAAAGATGAGATATGACAAAACTTATTTCAGTTTTAACCCCAGATCTTTGAGAGTTTTAACTTTATAAGCCTGGTTGTAATTACTTTTACTTTAGGTAACTATGTGTATCTTAGGCATGCTAAGTATAGCAAAATGTATTTTTAAAAGTCCTTTGGAACTTGTTCCAGGCCACAAGAAGCAAGTATCCTTGTAGATGGAAAAGAAACTATAGCATAAAGAATCACAAAATTTTAAATCTCTCACGAGGAATAAAAACATCTTTTAATAGATTGGTGTGTCAGTTTTCTTTTTAATAAATGAGGATTAGGGATAGTCTTTGATAAAACTATTAAGAGAAGTTTTTCCTACAAAGTTCCTGTGCTCTTAGCTGCTCTTCAGTTCCCTTTACCTCCACATAATCCCTCTGTCCAAAACCAAGCACATTCAGAACCTAAAAGAGCAATCTAAAAGCTACATCACAATGTGCTATGCTTCTACAAACATTCACATTTTTCAATAAAAGTACATAAATATAAAAGAATTAATTTCCATTGGTAAAAGATTAAGCTTTATGATAGGTAGGACAAGAAGATATTTTTTGGTTATGAGATAAGGCATGCACTGACTTTTTCCCTGTAAGTGATGATCTGCCTATACTGGCTAGCTTATGGATGGTAATCCTGTACAACTTATCTTTCTATGAATAGTCCTATTGGCTAAAACATTTAAGAAAATATCAAACATTTTTATGACTCTGAAAGAAAGTAAATTAAAAATTCTATGGTTAGTAACAGTAGAGAGTCTCTACTACTACTAAAGATTTCTGGTATTCTAAATGTAATTAAATTTGATGGAAGTGAGTGGTTAAAATCTGATCAACAGGAAGTATAGTGCTACCAGCTCCTCAGAGAGTGAAAGGTGTGGTGGTAGCAGTGAGGGGAGGGAGGGAAAAACCAGTCATAGAAGTCATACTTTTCTATACAACTGGTAAACTCTGGGCCTAAAAAGTATTTATTGTGGGCCTACAGTAGAGTGGAGCATATCTGGTTTTCCTGCATATCTCTAACTTGATCTGCTTTTACATTATTCTGTTATTCTCTCAAACTATTAAATTGTTACAGTTGATTTATTGATAGCATTTACAGAATACTTACTTTACAGCAGTTTTCTGAATGAGTTTTTAGAAGAGATGGGGAAACAAACATGAATAGAACACAATCCATGTCTTAGGGGATCTGGGAGAGAGTGCAGAAGATAGAAAATAGATATACAAAATATATCACCTAGGCCTGGCACAGTGGCTCATACCTGTAATCCCAGTACTTTGGGAGGCAAAGGTGGGCAGATTGCTTCAGCCCAGGAGTTTTGAGATCAGCCTGGGAAACATGATTAAAACCCATCTCTACCAAAACAAAAAAAATAAACAACAAAAAATGAATTAAAAAATTCCAAAAATATTTGCCAGGTGTAGTGGTGCATACCTATGGTCCCAGCTACTGGGAAGGCTGAAGGTGCAGTGAGCCATGATTGTGTTGCATAATTGTGCCACTGTACTCCAGTCTAGGTGACAGAGTCATACCCTATCTCAAAAAAACCACCAAAATCAAAACAAAACTACATATACACACACAGAAGTACATGTATGTGTGTGTACATATATATATGCCATATATATGCATAATCTATATCTATGTATATATACACATATGTATAGTTTATATAGTATGTATATATAGCTTTATATATGGATGTGATATATAGGTAACATATTTATATACATGTATAGACACATATACTTTATATATATTATATACATGTGTATAGACACATATATAACATATGAAAGAATATGATACCAGAACAATGGGAGAAGGCAAGTGACATATATAAACACATAGTTTATATATATGTGTTATATATACACATTTATGTATATATAAATATTATGTTATTTATATACACATATAAATTATATATGTTATTTATATATATAAATGAACATTTACTTAAATATTTAAATATTCATAAAAACATTTATTTAAATATTTAAATATTTAAATAAGTATATAAATAACATTAAATACTTATATAAATAACATTCATGCTATTTATTTATATTTATATAAATATACATTTATATGTTATTTATATACACATATATAGTTTATATACACATATATAAATTATATATATAAAGTATATATACACATATATAATCTATATATAAATTTATATATAAATAGATATATAAATTATATACACATATATAGATTATATATGTGTATATAAATTATATATGGAGCATATATATAATTTAAGTGTATATATTATATGTTTGTATATATTATATATATAATGTATGTAATATTATATATATTAAATAATATATAAATATATATGATATATAAATTTATATATATACATATATATGATATATAAATTTATATATATAGATATATATATATAAATTTATATATAGATTATATATGTGTATATAAATTATATATGAAGTATATATATAATTTATGTGTATATATATATTATATGTATGTATATATTATATATATAATGTATTTAATATTATATATTAAATAATATATAAATATAAATTATAAAATGTATTTAATATATATTATATTTATATAAAAATATATATTATATAACGTATTTAATATACAATGTATTTAATATTATATAATATATAATATATAAATATATATTATATAATGTATATATTATATATAATGTATTTAATATATAATATGTATTATATATAATGTTTTTAATATTATGTATTAAATATATATTATATATTAAATATATAATGTATATATTACATATATGTACACATTATATATATGTACATATATAATATATTATATTATATGTACATATATATACATACCCACATATATAAATTATATTTATATATAATTATATGTGCATATAAATTATATATGTATTATATATATTTATAATATATAAATATATGTATTATATATAAACTATATATGTGCATATAAATAACATATATGTGTATATACATGTTATATATGTTATATGTGTATATTATATATACATATATAAACTATATATGTGTATATAAATATATAAACTATATGTGTATATATACATATATAAATTGTATATGTATGTATATATATATTTGTACTATAGATGTACATATATGTAGTGGTTTTTTTTTTAATTGAGAAAATGTAGAAATGAACTCTGTTCCTCTTCCCAGCACCCAGAGTCATCTATCCTGTTCTATAATTCAACCTGCAAACAGATTAAGCAGCCGAGTTTGTGGAAAGTATGTTTGCTTTATGCTAAGGACCCTGTGTGACACTATGGTGACTCCCCTGACACTTCAAAGAGTGATATGTATGTATATATATATACACATATGTATATAGATAGATAGATATCCTAGATCCTAGATGATTAGTAAAGGTATGGATTAAATACTTTGAAAACATTAAAGAAAGAGAAAATAAAGAAATTAGTAACTGGAAAAAGCCAGTTAAGGCTTTATTTTAGAGGTGACATTTGGACTGGACTTTCAGAAGTAACAACAATTTGGCCAGGCAATAAAAGGGAGAAATACATTCTAAGAAGAAGAAATAACATGTGCAAAGAGGTTGTGGTAGTGTTGGAGAAGAATATGATACTAGAACAATGGGAGAAGGCAAGTGATAGGCATCATATGTCATGTTAAATCATTTAACTTGAGGGAATGAAGAGCCCTAAAAAATCTTAAACAGGGAAATAATACAAATAACATTTTAGAAAGATTAATTGGTGGCAGTGAGGAGGATAAATATGAAAGACCTATGCAGGTCAACTAGTTTTATGATTATTCCAATAGTCTAGGTGAGTGATGATGAGGGCCTGAATGAATGAATGCAATTACCAAGAGAGTATAAGGTAAGGAGAATCATGAGACATTTAGGCAGCAGACAAAACAAAGATTTGTGGCAAAGTGAATGTGAAAGGCAAAAATGAGTGAGGAAACAAGGACAGCTTGGAAGTTGCTAAAGTCCATTAATTGTGACAGAAAATAGAGGAGAATGGGCAGGACTTTATTTTCAGAAAAGTGAAGAGTAAAGAGTTTTGGAAATCTGAGACTGGATCTCAGGGGATAGGTGAGTGCTAAGATAAGTATTTGGAAGTTATTTGGCTAATAAGTAGTATTTGAAGCTGAAGGAAATAGATGACATTCCTGGGAATTGTGTAGAGGTAGAAGAAAAATAAAATCTTTAAGAAACCATTATTTTGGATATCTGGGAGGTGTATTCCCTGAAAGAAATGAAGTAGACACAGTCAGAGAAGTTGTAAAGGTAGAAAAAAAAAAAAAAACGATGCTACAGAATCTAAGAAAAGAAAAGACTTCAAGAAGGAATGATGAACAGTACTAAATGAAGAAAGTGAAGTAGGATAAATATTCTAAAAGTGGCTGCATTTGTTATTGGATGCTTGCTAACCTTAAAAAAAATCCTAAAATAACATTATGTGAGCAGAGGGACCAATATACACAAAGGCATTTAGTCCTGAAAAGGCAGAGCTCATCTGAGGAATGAGATAGTATAATGGAGTAAAATGCCAAAAGAAAAAGAAATTATGTAATACAGATTGTTCTAAAAGCATTATATGTATTAGCTCATCAAATTATCATGGCGATGTTATGAGATAGATGTATTATTTTCCACATTAGCATAGTGTTTTATGTTCAGGTTCACATACCTATACATTCTGAATCCAAAGCCTGAGCTTTTAAACCACTGTGTTATATTGCTGAAGATATATGAAGTTCTTTATTTATTTTTACCATGAACATATATTCATTGTATAATAAAAATATAGTTAAAAGTGAGCCACTGAACTTAGTAGTTAGAAAATTACTGGTGATCTTAAGAAGAACAATTTAAGTATACGAGCTAGCCACAGTATACTGAATAGCAGAGGAGTAAATGGGAATTGAAAACTTACAGATAGTAAGTGTGAATATAAATCAGTTATTCAAGAAATTTGATTGTGAAGGGAAAAGGGAAAAGTTATTCAAGAAATTTCATTGTGAAGGGAAATGTGATTGTGAAGAAACCTTTTTAATTTAAATTTTAAATTCCCAGGAATATTGATATATTTTCAAAGAACTTTTAAACATATTAGCTAATAACAGTGATTTTAGATGTTTAGAGAGTCTACTAATACCATCTTACAAAGTCTTATAAGTTGGTTTCCTTTAAGAGGATAACATTTCTCTTAAACTCAATAAAATAGGCCAATATCCTCATGAAGATACACTTTGCCCAATTGGTGGCAATTAAATATGAAATACAGTGGATCAAATATGAAAAGGAAACCCTATAATATTTCAACTAGGTCTTATTGTTGGAAATCAGAATAAGAGATTTAACATTTAATTCTTATAAATGACATAGTTGTACTTAAATGCTGATCCATGGATTAGTGCCATTGCATCAGAAAGTTTTGAACTGTCTGTGGTTAAATGCACAAAATTAGGAAGAGATACTGATTTTGTCAGAGTTAAAGTTATTTAATTTAAACCATTATCTGAGATTGTTACTTCTACTTCTTGGTGTATAAAGATGATTTCTTTAATGAAATGATGATTATAGTTGATGAGATCTAAAAGATAAAAGGTTTATAACACTTGCAAAGATTTTTGAAATTCGAATTGGTCTGTGGGAACCACTGTTTTGGTCATGTATGGAAATTAAAGTGTCATATATAAAGAAAACTTTGAAATTTGTAATTCGTAGACTTGAAGCAAACAGAGCTAAATCAGATACTGACTGTCAAAAGTTACTGATTGTGATTTACAAAGAAATGGTATCTACCTATATATATCACAGTGTTCTTAGAATATTAATGTACATTGTGAATAACTGGATATAGTTTCTGACTAAATATAAACCCAATCTTTTAACTTATAAATACATATGATACACATAAATCAAAGGTTTCCAGGTACACTGGTTTTAAAACAGTCTTGACTACTGATTTATATAACTTTGGCTATTAATCAAAATATAATTTCAGGGATATTGAGGAAATGATTGAGATGACATTTTCAAATAAGAAGTAGTGGGAAGTAAGAAACCTTGAAGTAAGCACTATTTCATAGTGTAAAACTGACAAAAAAAATTTGTTAAGAAAAAAGGTATATCTTAGAAATTGGAGGTGACATATGAAAGCTGTAATGCTGTTAATAATACATAAAGAAGGTTAAAATATGTTCTATTACATGTATTCTATGTATTCTATTACAGTGGTTCTATTACATAATGCTGTCTCAGAAAATTCTGCTACAATGTTCAAGTCCAATAAATCAATAAGTGACTTCTTTGCCTGATAAGCTATTTGTTAACATTTTGCTAGCTGTCAAAATGACTGACAGATTATTCAGCTTCATTTAAATTTTAATAAAAATGTAAAGATTATTTAAAATAAACAAATATAATTATGCACTGTGAAAAGCAGTACTGAATACTTCAGAAGAACAACACAAGAAAATTAATTTCACCCTACTGGATTTTATGCATCTACAAGTCTCAGACTGCAATATCACAGATGATCTCAACTCAAGCAGGATTATTGTAAAGCTAAATGAGTTCAGGTGGTAACTTGACTGCCTCTTCCCCTTGCTAATAACTTTGCCTATTAACTTGGGACTGTGAAATAATTTAAATAATATGGTCTTCGTGAACTGATAATCAGTTATTAAGTAAAAATGGTTTGCCCTACACGGTAACAGTGATTCCCAAGAAAATAACTTTTTGACCCCAAATATGACATATGGTATCCAATCTAAAAAGGTTCATTTGGTTCAGTCTACTTTTGTCTTAAGCTATTAATATGATCAATAATGTTTGGTTCCCAAAAGAAAGTGTTATTTTGTTTTGTTTTGTTTAATGTCTTTGAAGTATTACAAGATCATTTTACTTACTTTTGAACTTTTTCATTGGCCACTTGGGAGGCCTCTATGGCATGCTGAAGTTGTAATTCCATATTTGCTCGCTCTGTCAGAGCTTGTTGCAGTTGGGTAGCCAGTTCCTCATTTTGTTGTTGAGTGATGGAAACAATGTTCTCTCTGTTTTTTAAAGCTTCTTCATATGTGCTAAGAGTGTAGTTAAACTGATCTTTCAGATTTTCTTCTTGAGATAAAGATTTGTGTAAACTGAGAGAAATTAAAACAAAATTTAAAGATAAGTAATGTAGACTGAGTAATCAATTAGCTATTTAACAAAAACCGCCATTTAGACTCTCTAGTTCTAAAAATCAATAAATACTTAAATGAGCAAATGAAAATAATTTTTATGTCACAATATTATAATCGATAATTTCTCTCCTTCTAGGCTGAAAGCTACCCGGACAAATGATGCTACCAAAGCATACAAAAAGATGCTGCCAGATGTTAATTTAATTATATCAGTGTAAATATTACATTCAATTTTCTTTTAAAGGGATAGCAGAGAACTAGAAAATAAGGTATCTCTAGGCAAATAAAATAATATAATAAGCTAAAAGAAGTAAGAAGAGAATGGCATTGGTTTAAGAGATTGAGGGTCTATTCTGCTAAGCACTTAAGGAGAATGGATGAGGTTTATGCAAATACTGACCAGCCTCCTACACAGCATTTTCTCCTTGTCACAGTTGAGATATAAATAAATTTAAAATAACTAGTCAGATTGCACAGAAATAATATATATTCATATATACGTGTGTATATGTATTCTTTTTGGCTAATGAATCTTATAATGAATACATCTACTCATTAAGTCATACAGAGAAATAGCATATAAATTAAGACTAAATAAATGCAGAAGAAAACGCAGACAAATAGAATCCTAAAATGCTAAAGGTCAAACCTTTGATATGTCATTACACCTACCAGCTGAGGTTATTTTGAAATGGCACCAAACACCTCACTCAATTAAATAAAGACATTTTGAAAATATAAATATTTAATAAGATAAATTTAAAATCCACATAGGAGATGTTCTTTTTTATTAAATATCATTTCAGTATATGCATACAAAGGAAATGCCGATCGGAGACATTTGAAGTAAAACAACTTAACTATATGATATAGATTGATAATGTGAAAGAAAGCAATATCATTATTAAACCTGCAAAAAGCTAGTCAATGAACTTTGGCACTGTCCTAATATCTAGTCTGATACTTTGTTTAAAACTGTTCAGACTAATAATACTTTTCTTTTTTTTAGTTTAAGTTACCTATAAGCCTTTACAGTATGCTTATTTTGGAGAAGGCATCCCATAGAACTAGGATGGACATGAAACAAGGACAGTCAGCATACCAAATGAAATCATTGCAGGATTCAAATTATTTCCTAAGACTACAGACTGTTACTAAGTCCTGGTCAACTGGTTACTACATAGAAAATTAGAATGGTGTGTAGTGCCACATTGGTAGACTGCAAAAAGTATCTTTTTCCATGGTTTTCATATTGTTATTAATCTAACTAATCCTATTTCATTTCTTCTCAGTTCTTTTTACCAACCCATATGCCTAAAGACTATCTCTTGCCCATTTTCCTTTTTCTGTCCTCTCACTTTCCGCATCTTGCCTATTCCAAGTTCCAATTTTCTTCAGCTCACCCTCTTTATCTCCCTTAAAGATGCAAGAAAGAAAGAAATGAAAAACAAACTAAAAGCAAAGGCTTAATAAAGATGCTTGTTTATATTCTTTACATTTAAAACATTAGTTATATTTTAATTCTTAATTACATTTTAAATTACACAAAGTGCATATATATAGAGTATTCAGCTTGAAAAAATGTGAAGAACAAAATACAGAATAAACACAGAAATCTAGAAGACCCCTCCCAGTGTTCACTCCCATTTTTCCCCCACCCCAAAAGCTAATTACTAATCCAACCTTTATCAAAATGTGAATTGCCTATTTTTAAACTTTTTGTCTGGCTTATTTTCCTCAACAATCAGTATGTGTGGTTCATCTTGCTATAGCATATAATTCATTGCTTTTTATTGCTACAAAATATTCTGTTACATACATACGTCATAACTTATTTAACAATTCCACTGTTGTTGCTATGAATATTCTTGTATATGTCTTTTGAGGGACCTAGGTATTTATGTCTAAAGTAGAATTTCTCCATAGAGCATGCGTTATTTTCAGATTTTGTACTGCTGATAACAGATTCTGATTTAGATTTAGATGCTGCTAATAGTCTTCCGTATTAGTTGTACCAATTTATAGTCCCATCAGCAAAATATGAGTTTCAGTTGCTTCACATTCTCCCTCAGAATGGCACTGTCAAGTGCTTTTTTTAGTTATTGTAATATGGATGCAGTGATATTTCATTCTCTTAATATTGTCTTATGTATGTGTGTATTGATTGATTGATTGATTGAGACCAGGTCTCACTATGTTTCCCAGGCTGACCTTGAGCTTCTGGGCTCAAACAGTCCTCCTGCCTCAGCCTCCTGAGTAGCTGGAACTATAGGCACATGCCACCATGCCTGACTCTTAATGCTGTCTTTTGATGAAGGTAAGTTCTCAATTAAATAAAGTTCAATTTACCACTGTTTCTTTAATGGCAATGCTTTTCATAAACTGTTTAAAAAATCTTAGCCTACTCCATTCCCTTATATTTTAACTTTACATATATGGCCTAGTTTAAAACTCAGTGAGACAGCTTAGTTTGGGAATTCTGCGTTTGCCTATCATGCCTAAAGTAGTAACCACTATATTGTAACCAATTACATATTAAGAATCAATGATTCCATTTAAAAAATCTCACCATTATTAAAATTATGGGCATCCTGATTTAATATCCTAATCACTCCTCACTTCCTATCTTCTAACATTTAATTTTTAGGGGGCAAATTTATACCTGATTTTGATTTTTCTCTCAGTTGGACATGTTTGGATTGTCCCTGCAAGTTCAAAAGCTACTTATTCAAAATGAGTTGGAAACCTGTCAATTACCATCAAGACTTTCCCAAACAAGGAACATGATCTTTTTAAAAAGATAAAGTAGTTATATCACTTAAAATCCTGCAATAGCATTTCTTTGCACTCAGAAAACAATCTTTAAAAACAATAAATGCTATACTTTAACTCACTGAAACTCGCAACTTGCATGAGAAGTCCTATTTAATATTCCTTTTTTTACTGATAAAGAAGTGGAAATGAAGAGAGGTAAGTAATTTAATACATGTAGCAGAGCTAGAATGTGAACCCACAGTCTTTATCTATGCACTGGAACCCTCTTCTATACTTGCTGTGGTCTAAAAAGCCCTGCATGACTGACCTCTCACTTCTTCCTCAACTTTTAGCTTGGCATTCAGATTCTCAAGTGTGTCAAGTATTTTCTGCTGAAGGTATTTGTTTGGAATGCCTTTCCATCCATGCTTCTACCTGACAAAGTCCTACTCATCTAGTAAGTCTTATGTATGTGTGTCATAGCAAAAATAACACTTTCTTAGATACACCTAGATGACTCTTCAATCTAAAGCTTGATGTTTCTCTGTTAGTCTGTCTCACAGATCCTACTCTTCCTTCTCAGAACTTAAAATTCATAGCTTTTTTTCCAATTCATCTTGTGGTTTTCTTCCCAATTCTAAAATATGAATACTTCATTTATATAGAGTAATTTTATTTTATGGGAGGAATACATTCCTTAAGGACTATAATAAATCAAAATGTTTATAATTCTAAGGAAATTTTCCAGTAGGAATAAAGGTGAAGAAAGAGAGCTATGTTTCAAGCATTTATAAATCTGTAATCATTGAAGCACAATTTTTGCTTTGGTACTCCTTCTTCAGAATGGTCTTCTTTAAATTGACAACAGAGCCTCCTTGTTTAGCTTTCTTCACAAAGACATATTACATTTACCCTCTTCCAAAGTTACTAATTTTTAGATGCATTTTCAGCATAGTAGTAGTATTATAATTCAATGGCACTTAAATTGTATGGGAATATATTTTAGGTTACAGTAGGCATAAATGATGAAATAACAACAGAAGAGTCACTGAATCACTCTCAGAAATTCTAAAGCATGTAATCAAATAGTGCAGCTTACACAATATCCACATAGGATGGTAACTATTTCTGTTAACCAGGAAGTTAATGATGTAATAACATAAGTAAAGTTTAAATTCACTCTTCCAGTTTTAAAATTATATAATTCTTTATAAATTTATTGTTTATAATTTAGAGTAGAAAGTAAAACTTTAAAAATATTTTTACTTACTAATATTTCATATAATCATATTTCTAATTAACATCAAATAAGCCTGTACACTGTCTCCTATGCTGCTCACCACAATGAGTCCAATGGCAGGCTAAGGTAGAAAATGTCCTTAATGCATATCACTCCAGTGAGTACCATGTAATAGAAATATTTTCTGATGTGGCTTCTGTCTTGGTTTTAATGTTCCCTGGTCTATTACCTTATGTCTGTGGCCCTGACTATTTTCCTGGTCCCTGACTCTTCATGCCACCTCAGCTAAATATAACTTGGAATTAACAGGTTTATGAGCCACTGAGATGTTTTGCTTGCAGATATTTACATTCTCTTCAAATTGTCTGCCCACCTGCTCATTGAACTCTCTCTCTTAACTGTAATGTCCCACATGAATTCAGCTTATTCTTGCAACTAGTATTTTTCCATTTGTACCAAGTTTTGATGCTACTTTTCCTGACTTCCTCTCTTGTCTCCATGATGAGGTATTGGTCAAGTCCTTACAGGAGATCATTTTACTCGTCATCCTACAATATGCACTTACTCTGTTTATGCTTCTTTATTTTAGAGTAATTGTTCAATCATTAGTGTGTTCTATATATGCTATTTAATTGGATAAATATTTTTGGATTAAAATTATTAAAATAATTTTGGATAAAATTAAAATTTAGGTACAACAATGTAGATCAGTAGGTCTTAACCAGGAGTAATTTTGTTCCTCAGAGGATATTCTGTAACATCTGAAGACATTTTGGTCACAACTGGTGGGGGTGGCAGGGAGGCTGAGATAGTACTAGCATTTAGTGAATGAATAGGAGCTAGAGATACTGCTAAACATCCTATACTGCAGAGGATAGATTCCTACAACAGAGAATTATCCAGACCACTGTGTCAACAGTGCTGAAACTGGTGTAGATTAAGAGATGTTGGGTTGAACTTAGAA